AATTCAGAGAAAAAGTGGATGAAATCCCCTTTTTCTATAAACCTCACATTATTGTTTACTTAATGTTACGAACATCATTCGTTATCGATTAATTCTTTTTTAGATGATACGCTTTGTTGATGCCGCTTTGCTGCTTTATCATACCATCATTAGTACCTTATTGAGCATTCGGTGAGTCTTTGTAGTGCGCGTGGCACCTCGCAATCTGCAGATATTGCATAAATCTACATGTTACTTGGCTGGTGAATTCTGCCGCTCACATGTGGGGTTACAAACCTTACAATAAGTACGTATTTCTATTATTATATACATAATATACAAATATGCAAAAGTTTCCATCGCTCATGTATAGAAAGATCGCTCTAAAAGAAGACTTTTTTTTATCGCAGTATCCATTTTTAATCTAAAAAGCGGCTAAAAGTGATAGAAAAAAGAATTTTATATTATTTAAAATATTGCATTATTTATAAGATATTATTAAAAAAATTGCTTTAAGAACGATGGAAACTTTTACATACCTCTATTATTTCTTTTTGATATAAATATGTTTGCCTTTGTAAAAGTTTAAAATTGAACTTAATAATGTAACAAAATTTAATAATTAAAAAAAACTTTTAAAAGTTACGTAAAATTTGTTATTGATTAATTATTAATATTAATTATTTTTATATTATTCTTAAATAAATAAAGAAATATTTATTATTAATTATGTAATTAAATTGAAAGAATTATATTTTATTTTATCAGTAATTACAAATTGAACATTTGTGTGTGGTGTTTAAACACGTCTACTTTTATCATGCAGATTAATCACTCCTGCGGAAAATGCTATAGTTTCTCTACTAGCGTTTGGCGAAGGCTGACACAATTATCATCATGTTTTTCCTTGGGACTATAAAGCGGCAGAATTAGGAAATTATTCGCTCAATATTACCACAGCTTTTATCGACTTTTTCGCCTATTTAGGTTTAGCTTATGATCTAAAAACTGCATCTGAGGATATGATAAAGAAACGCGTTGTTCGAAATAACAAGCTAGATTAGTGAGAAATCATCAGTATGACGGAAGAAATAATTTTTAAATTTTTAACTTAGGCAATTGGATATAGATAAATCTTATGCGACATTTTGTTAGTTAAATACATGCGATCCAAACATTTATAGATTTTGTGTTTTAAAAACTTAATTATGTGTATGTGTGTGCGGCAGACTTTCTAAAGATAATGAGTATGATTTAATATGAGTAAGATGAATATGTTTGCCAGTTTGTATATTTACACTAATGTAACAAAATTTAAAATGACACGAAAATCTTGTTTTGGTTCTTTTGCTCTCTCTTATATATTACTTATATATTGCTCTTATATATTATTAATTTTTAAATTTTTAGAATTTATTTTTTCAGAAAGAAATTCTTTTGTACGTGAGAAAATTATTTTATATTTTGAACTAAGATTTTTCCAACGTGAAGTCGTTCTTTTTCAATTTATTAATAGTATATAAAAATGCTCTACATAATTTATAGTACTATATAGCCTTCTTATTTGGCATAGTTTCCGATGGTGTAATTTGGTGTATCATATCGGTCCTTCCTTGCGCTACGCGCAAGCTCGCCGCGTCGCTTGATCAACTGCCAATATCCTTCTCATTGTTAGTATGAAAAGATTGTTCGAAACAGTAAGATCGCGATTTGATCGGTTCAAAAAAATTTAATACTGGCGATTCAAAATAGTACTAGTTTGCAGTACTGTTGTTACAAAGTGTAATTTGTTAACAATTTTCATAAATATAGGTGAGGATTGACGAACTAAATATGTTTAACTAACAGTGTACAATTTAAATTTTTTAATTCGGTTTAATTCAAAATCAACATTAATTTTAACAATTAATTTTAACAATAATTCAAAATTAACATTAATTTCTGCATCATTAATAGAAATTTTAATGTTTCTTTTAATTTTTTCTTATTTCTTTTATATTGATATTAAGTGAACTGAGATGCACGTAAAATTAATTATTATATGTAAAATGATATCTCCAACGTAAAATTTATTTATTAAACACACGTCGTACATTACAGAAAACTTCAGTTTCATGAATTGCCTTACTTGCATCGCATATATTACACATTTCTGCTATGTACTCTCCTATGCTTCCTAATAAGGGTCGGATTTTGGCATAAGCAATATAAGCAATTGCTTAGGGCCCCGCGCCAGTAGAGACCTCAAAGGTTCCATACAACTAATTGCATAAGAGTATTAAATTGACGGAAAAAATTAAAAAGGCCCTCTTTAAAGCCAGTGCTTAGGGGACCCCTACGATCTAAATCTGGCCCTGTTTCTCATATACACAACTTCTCATTGGAACGTAATGCTCTCTTCCAAACATTAACCTTGCCTTTATTTCCTTCTGTGTTTTGTTATTCTTTTACGTCTACTGTCCTTCTTAATCTTTCAGCCCTATTCTGTTTTTCTCTTACCGTTGTAATTTACCAAAAAAATTTTAATAATATATTTTGTGCAATGCGAATATACATATCGTAAGTATACAAGTATACCCACAAGGAAACTGATAAAAGTCAAAATTTTTCGATTATCGTTTTAATTTTAATCTTACAACAGCCCATCCATGAAAGTAAATATGCTAGGATTAAAATGTAGTTATATTCAAAAAAAAATGTATTTTACTGTCGTTATGAATTTCTTTTTTTATTCTCAATTTTTTAGTGTAACTTATCTCATATGTGCTTTCATAAAAAGAGTATAATCAAATATAAGTAAGCGCGACATAATATTAGTAATATAAAATAATATGAAATCATACGTAATGGTTACAGTGAATCAACCATTAATTATCTAAATGGTCGTAAAAACATCATTCTTAATAACATTAAAATTGGCGTTTCTAGTGTTTATTGTGTTTTAATATTACAAATATTTTATACATTTTTATTTTTTTTAGTTTTATATTTAAAAAAACTTCTTGGTAAATTATATTTTTCGTAAAAGTCTGTAAAACTTTTAATAATTAAAATTATGTTCTGTTAATACTAAAAATAATATATTTTCATGTTTTACGTATCTTTCATAATATTTTTTAGTATGAATAGTTACAATCGTTATTATATATGCTTTTCTTTTGTGTATAGAGAAGTAAATTACTATGTGTCGCAATATATGTATGTACATTTTTACACATAAAATTTTTTTTCAGATGCTTTAAACAGAACTTAGTATGGCATTAAGGAATATTTCATTAAATATCAGACCAATATTTATTGTGATAATATTTTTCTCTATTTCTCAATTTATAAAAAGTGACACTGAAGTTAATCATCATTTGTTGAATTATACTGATTTAATACCACTGCAGTATGATGTCAATATAGAATTTGACTTTCGTATAAATGTCTTGCACGGCGAATGCAATATTACCATCAATATTACACGTCCAATAATGAATATAAGTATACCTTCAGTAAATTTTGGTATACTTAAACTTGATTTGACTATCAATGATGGCAATAGGATGATACACATACCGAAATATTCATTTATCGATGAAACGTACATTTACATTGACTTCACCAACCAGTCTGTAAATATTTTATTTCCTGGAACATATATTTTACACATAATATATCTCAACAACATATATGATGAAACTTTTCGCGCATACGGAGAAAAAATAGGTGAAAAAGTGTAAGTTTAAATAATTAATTCTCAAACAAAATATGATAAAAATTTTATATAATTCATTTTTAAATGAAACAGATTAACAGAAACTGGAGTTGAGGTAATAAGAGCTCAACAAATATTTCCATGTTGGGACGAACCAGCGTTCGAGAGCACGTTTATCATTTCTATTATGCATCATGAAAGATTTACTGCCCTATCGAATATGTTGAGAAATGCAGAAGAATATATAGATGAAAATAACATGATGTGGACACATTTTAACAAGTCGCCTTTCATGTCCATTCAACGTTTAACGATTGTGATAATCAACAACCGTTTTCTGCAACAGCGGCTTATGTATACAAATGTCATAATTTGGTGTAGAAAAAATGTAAAATTATATCTAAAATTTGCACAACTCGTCGTAGAAGATGTATTCAATTTTTTGAATGAAAGTCAGACAAAAATATTAAAAATAGATTATGTTGCAATTTGGGATACACAACATAAGAACATTGAGACATGGGGACTTATTTTACACAGGTAGTATCCAGTTATTAGTAACTAAAAAGATAACGTTTAAAATCAAATTAAAAAACAAACTTATCTTAATATTTTAGAACTAAAAATATATGAATTATTATATCAGAAAGTCATTTAAAGACTATCATATACATCACTTGCATTACATCATAAAAAGTACTTTTATTTTAAACAGAAAATTAAAATAATCCTTCTTTACATCAAATCAGATTTTAAATTAGATTTTAATATGTAAAGTATGAAAAATAATTGTACGTTTTATGTTGTACAAAAGGAGTTATAAATATTATGTATTGCATCAAGAATATAAAAATATCATGAATATTTCTAATTTAACTTCTGCAATCTTTTAATCGTGATGTTATTTATTCATAAATGTTCAAAATATTTCTTCTTTTTTTTTAATAATCTGAATAAATGATTATTTAAGTGAGAGAACACACAATTTTACAATGTTATTTTTATAAACACAGAAAAAATATATTGTTTATTAAATAAATATCAAAACAAATTTGCTT